TGGGGTTTAGGAATGTAGGGTTTAGGAGTTTAGGGTTTTCCTTTGATTTGAGTTCTGGAGTGCCATCCTTGACAATTGTTCGGACCTGTCCACTGAAGAACCTCAAGCAGTAACGATTCTTACTTGGGTACTGCCCCCACTGAGTAACAGTTGGATAATATTTCTATTATGGATACATTAGGCCCTTAATAGTAGCCTAAACCCTAAACCCTAAACCCTAAACCCTAAACCCTAAACCCATAGACTGATAGTGTATGGGGGCAGTACCCAAAGTATTACAGTTTCCTCACAGGTTGCTTGGAAGCCCTTTTGAGGGTTTAGGGTCTGTTAGGGTTTAGGGTTTAGGGTTTAGGGTTTAGAGTTTAGGGTTTAGGGTTTAGGGTTTAGGGTTTAGGGGTTAAGGTCTACGGTTTAGGATTTTGAGGGTTGCGAAAGTTATCTGCTTACTGAGGCCCTTTTGGGGTTTATAGGGCTTGTTCGATGCGTTTGAGAAATTTCCCCAAGGATTTTTTCGAGGGGGGTGTTTCTAAAGCTTCCTTGAAGGGGGTGTGCCTTTAAGCCTTCTTGCAGGTGTGCCTAACAGATTATGGGGTTCTTATTGTGCAGCGGCTTGCATCCAGATCCAGGCCCTATTACCCTTACTGCAAGCCCTAAACCCCAACACCCCGAACCACCAAGCCCCTTAGTATGAAGCTGAAAGCCGAGCCTCATGTAAACCCCCCCTAAACCTTAAACCCTAAACCCTAAACCCTAAACCCTAAACCCTAAACCCTAAACCCTAAACCACGAGACAGTTTTCGGCACAGTATCCGGTAGCTCCAGTTAAAAGCTTATTCGAAGGTGAGTTTAGTATAACATAGAGGCGCCAATAATTACCTATACTATTTTGGGGTTCCTGACTATAGTTATAGTATAATCTACCCCAAACCCCTATTCTAATTATTAAGGCCCCTGTATTACTTCCCATGTATTGCCCCGGCGAAGCCGCAAGAGGGCCCCATTACGCATCTCACCAACCCGACAAACTCGGACAAGCGAACATCCATGCACCCTCCACAACATCCTGAACCCTGAGACCCTAAACCCTACACCCCTAAATCCTAAACCCTAAACCTGAACCTTAAGGCTGCATGGATCTACGGTTGATGATATAAATCCTGCATTACCCACAATAATGAAGGGTTATACCATAATCCCCATAGTTTAGGGTCCTTCAGGTAGTGCAGGATTTATATCACCAACAGTATAAAGTATGTACCCTAAACACTTCATGTATCCCAAGGATTCGACAAGGGTACTTCCGAGAAAGGGTTCGATCATGGCTGTGAGGGTGGAGGGTTTAATTTAAGGCTCCCCTAAACCCTAAACCTTAAACCGTATAAAGTATGTACATAGGCATCAAAGTACCTATATAGGAACCCTTGAATACCTAAGTTTCGACTTTGTCACGAAATGCTTTACAAGCGCACATCGAAAGCTTTCTCCATCCCTAGTATCAACTTTGCAAGAAGCTCTGAATCATAAACTGCCCTAGACCCTAAACTTTTCAACCTTAAGCTCTAAACCTTAGCACTCTTAACCCCCTAACCGCAAACCTCACAGTCCCCAAACCCTAATGTCGCGAAGGGTCCTATGTACCAGCATAGTAGAATGTTGGGGTTCTATATCAGGAAACACCGCTGTGAGTTGGGAAAATATCCGACCAACGACCTTTTCGACCCTCAACCCTAAAGCCCTTAAAGGAACCCTTGAAGGAACCCAAAACCCTAAACCCGAAAGCCATGAAAGGAACCCGTAACCCTAAAGGCCCATACGGCATCTCTTAAAGGAACCCTTAAGGGAGCCCTAAACCCTAAAGACCCTTGAAGGAACCCTAAACCCCAAAGACCCGTCAGAGAAGCCTGAAAGAACCCCTAAACCCCTAAACCCTAAACCCCCAAATCCCCAAACCCCTAAACCCCAAACCCCTAACCCTAAACCTTAATCTCCAAACCCCTAAACCCTAAACCCATAAAACAAAATCTTAACGGACTTTCTTGGATGTCAAAATCCTAAACCCTAAACCCTAAACCCTGGACGGAAAAGGGCCCTTTAAAAAAAATCTAAACCCTAAACACGACCCGAGGCCTTGGCGGTCTTCAAGCAACGTGAGTCTGAGTTGATCCTGCCGGAGGAGCAAGATAAGCAAAGGCTTTTGGGTTTTGGGCTGGGCCCTGGCGGCTAGAAATCTGTCTTGGGATACTCAAGCATGCATACAGTAGGGTTTAGGGTTTAGGGCCCAGAGACTCCAATGTCCCTTAATTAAGGAATATACCTTAAATTATAGTAGGATCCCTAATATGATTTAAGGTATATTCCTGAATTAAGGGATATTGGAGCTACAGGGTGCAAGGTTTACTTAGGGGCTGAGTTTTCCTGGACCCTTAAGAACCTCCCTTTTTAGGGTTCCTTATTATGAGTACTTCTTAAACGTCCTTAAAAAGGTAGGTTCTTTGGGGTCTAGGTAGGGTTTAGGGTTTAGGGGCTGAGTAGATAACCTTTAAACTTTTGGGCCTTATATAATCCTACTATAACTGGAAAGGTTAACTTTTTGGGGGGCTAGCCTTAACAATAAGGCACTACAGTTGTTGTCACGGTTAATATGTGGGAGAGTATATGATTATTAGGTACTTGGACCTCTAGGGGTTCAGGGTTCAGGAGTTTAGGGGTTAAACCCTAAACCCTAAACCCTAAACCCTAAACCCTAAACCCTAAACCCTAAACCCTAAACCCTAGGATTTAGGGTTCAGGGGTTTAGAGTTTAGGGGTGTAGGGGTGTAGGGGTCATGGGTTTAGGGTCTAGGGGATCCGGGGTTTAGTGTTTAGGGGTTAAGGGTTGCACCGTTTGTTTTCGGGGCTTACTTGGAGGGTCGGAGGACTTAGGAAGTAGGTAATATGTCGAGTCATAAGTGCTCTAAGTGGGATCCTTATTAGGGTTATGGTACTTCTTAGTCTATCACCTATTCAATTTGCTATACTTAAAACCCTAAACCTTAAGCCCTTACTAAGTCTCCCGACCCGCCAAGTAAGGCTCCCAGATGGTTTTCAGGATATGGGGGTTTCCGAAAATAGGCGGGGACCCTAATATAGTACCCTAAGTAGTAGGACCCTTATTATAAGGACCCCCAAAATAAGGTACCCCTATTTTCGGAAACTCCCATATGGGGGATCGGGTTGTTCAAGCGTTCAACTTTAGACTTCATGTGGGGCTTTGGCTTACAGGTTTTCAGGGTTTAAGAGGGTACCAGGGTTTAGGGTTTGTGGATTGTCGGTACGGTTTTTGTGTTCAGGGTTTAGGGTTTAGGGTTTAGGGTTTAGGGTTTTTGTGTTTTTGGGTTTACGGTTTACGGAAACCTGTCACGCTATCTGAGGAGCCTTTGGGTTTGCTCCAGGGGCTGCTAGCCTGTGAAGACAAGGCATTCATATGGGAGGCCCCGAAAATAGGGTTTAGGGTTTAGGGTTTAGGGTTTAGGGCTTAGGGTATAGTAAGGGGTCCCTAGGAACAGTATTGGCCCCAATATTCATCAAAGTGACGGTGAGCTCGCGCAGATGCTCTCGGGTGCCGGGCCACCACCCCCCCCACCCCACCCCACCCCAATGGTATCCCCCCCAACCCCCATGGTAACCACTGCCCTCAGCCAGCTGGCCTCCGCTACGGATTGGTGGGGGTGTCTCCCCACGCCTGCCCCCACCCCCTTTCGGCCCCTACGGTACCCAACCCTTGCTCCACTCAGAAAGCAGCAATCTGCGCGTCAGACATGAATTGCAATGCTTATTTATGAGGGTTGTGTGGCGATGGTGATGGTGGCAGACGTTCTTTCGATGGTACTGATGATGAAGATGNNNNGTCAAAGATGATCTGATTGTCGACTCACGAGCCATGTATCACCGGCAACAGGCACAACTGCGAACAAGGCCAGCCAAAGCCTCAGCTAAGGGCGGGGATGCCACCACAGGTCCCACCCCACAGGGGGGGGCGGGGTTGGGGGCAGGGGGGGATACCATGGCGTGGGGGGGGAGGGGGGTGGTGGCAGCCCTGCAACATACTTACATGTGCGAATTTCCTGCGAATTCCCCGTCAAGCGAGCTGTTACATTCGACCTATCAAGACAAGCAAAGCGATGTCATTGAATGATTGCGGCAATGCAAGAACGTTTACAACTTTGGCTGATGTTGGAAGTAGATTTTCAGATCCCTGTCGACACTTTGCATGTTGAATTGCTTTCGTCTGCGGCAGGGGCCTTCAATCCAAAACGGAGCGTTTTGCAATTCCTTGGGGACGTCAAGCCCGCACTAATTTGGGGCTTTCGTACAGACTTCGGTTTAGCACGGGGTTTTGTATATGCGAAGAGGACCCTCGATGTAGGGAGACCCCCGTGACTCATCACTCAGTGCGTCTTCGATCTACACATGTTCGATTGGCTGATAGTTGATAGTTCAAACGGGAAGCTGGTGTGCTTAGTGCTTTATTTGTTGACGAGTTCGAAGGGGTTCCGCGCTATGTCCGATGGTCCGTCTGCTGACAGCCGGGAACGATTCTTCGGAAGTCTCGGGTTCTATCATGTGAGAAGCCTTGAGTTTAATCATTTTCGGGTGTACTGTTGGTATGCCACATCCACTGCTTGGTAACAGCCCGGAAGTGGTTGTATAGTTGGGGGGACTTATCAAAGCAGTTGGTTGATTGTTTAGGAGGTCATAGTTGTCGGGGGCCTATTATTCCTCAACTCATTGTATTCTGAGTTACGGCTGTCTGTAGTTTAGTCTCAAGCGATTGACGGTCAGTCATGATTCCTGGTCTGATGTTTCCAATTGATTAAACAAATGACAAATGGCCCGAACGCAGTAGATGCACGCTTAAGGGTTGAAGGGTGTTGGTAGTGCGAGTAGTGTAAACAGTAGACCGCGAGCTGAACTTTCGAACTTGCTTACCCTAAGCCCGAAGCCCTACACCCCAAGACCTAGTGTGGTTGCTCAGCACGTCTATTGTTGGTGTCGAGTCTCAATACCTTGGTTGCCCGGAGAGGCCTGCAAAATAAAAGTATCAGAAGTATGAGACTCGCATCCTAAATCTTCCAGCAGACACCTCGAACACCAACCCGCAGCCCGTGAGTGCGAAAACCTGAGCCTTAATGCCTTAATGCTTCGACCGCCTGCCCCTAACAGCAAAGAAGAACCTCTACATACACCTGTGCCCAGACTTGAGACTCCGAAAGAAAATGATAGCCGAAAACAACAAAACACTGGCCATAAAGTCTATCTAAATATAGGCCCTGCTGTAATCCTATACCTAGAAACCCTCAAGCAAAAAAGGAAGTTGAGGACAATCCTGACAAAAGCCCTAAACCCTAAACCCTCTTTAGGAGGTTTCTTCTTCGAGCCGCCGTGCCCCCTTTCAGATAAGTTTTCTGGGTCGGTGGTCTCTTTACTTGGGGTTACTGTTTCAAGCGGCTGTATATAGGGATCCTTATTCGCGCTATATTAGGCAGCACTGAAAAACAAACAAAGCGACCACCATTCTGATTAACCATAAGTCTGATAGAGTAAAGAAAATCTGCCCTGCTGTGATTCGTATGAACCCCCTCAACCCCAAACCCGAGACCGTGAAGAACCACCAGGATCCCAACAGTCCTAAACCCTGAGCCCTGAACCCCTAAACCGTAAACCCGAAACCTTGAAGAACCACCGGAAACCCTAAACCCTAGACCCCTAAACCGTAAAGCCGAAACTTTAAAGAACCACCAGCAACCCTAAATTCAGAATCTTTCAACCCTCACCCCCTAAACCCTAAACCCTTATCCCCTAAACCCCTAAGCCCTAAATCCCCAAAGCCCCTACCAGGAGGCATCCTTGAAGTTATAAGCACCATACCCCAATTAGGATCCCACTTAGGGCACTTATAACTCTACTTGCCTACTTACTAGGTCCTCCGACCTTCCAAGTACCAGGAGGCATCCTTACCCCCTGAACCCCTAAATCCCTAAACCCCTAAACCCCTAGACCTGATAACCCCTAAGCCCTAAACCCCTAAACCCCTAAAGCCCCTACCAGGAGGCGTCCTTCAAGTTATAAGTACCACAACCCCAAGTAGGATCCCACTTAGGGCACTTATAACTCCACTTATTACCTACTTACTAAGTCCTCCGACCCTCCAAGTACCAGGAGGCATCCTTGAAGGCCTGATAACCGCTAAACCCTAAACCCTAAACCCTAAACCCTAAAGCCCTAAACCCCTAAACCCCTAAACCCTAAACCCCTGAACCCCTGAACCCCTGAACCCCTAAACCCCCAAAGCCCCTACCAGGAGGCATCCTTGAAGTTATACAGCAACCTTAAAACTCCGAATTCTTAAACCCTTACCCCTTATAAACCCTACACCCCTACACCCTAAACCCCTAAAGCCCCTACCAGGAGGCATCCTTGAAGGAAGACTCGGCGGAGAGCCGCGACTCTCCCGTCCACTCTCCCCTCTCCTCGACGGATGCAGGGCCGGGATTCCCAGGGTTAGTTCCCTTAAAGAAAGGGCTCCCCTTAAAGGGGTTTAGGGTTCAGGG